TCTGTGTCATGTGATGCAGACGGTAGTCAAAGGGCTGTGGATAGCAAGCTTGGAAACAGCCTGGCACAAGAATAGAGGCAAGGGATGATGAGAGCCTGAATTTAGAACAAAAGCACTAAGGAGATGAAAGCCACAGAACTTAATCTCGATTAGATCTGGCTTGGAAAGCTGGGTAGATGTGGCCCATTAATCAGACCCGGTAACAGAGAAGGAGGATTCAGTTTGGGACTTTAGTTTTGCTGTCCCTGGAATATTCACAGAGAGAAGTGGAGCGAACAATGGGATATTCAGGTCAAGAGATCAGGAGGTAAAGCTTTAGAATCATTAACCTGAAGGTTATCATTGAAATTCCTCATACAGGTACTACCAACCACTGAGAGCTTATAGCGAGATAAGAGGACCATAGAGAAAACTCTAGTGCACTGATATTCAAAACAGAGCCCAGCCACTGGCTGCCTGTCCACTAATTGTTCATTGCTGGTCCCTGATAACATAAGGGATTTGCTTCAGAATGTAATCAGCTGTGTCACTAGGCACACTGTTTAGCTGACTTTTTTCTTTTAATCTTAGCAAGACTTTGAATGAAGGAAGCATTGCATTAGTTAACACCGGATGCACACGCCTTTCGCCTCAGGTCAGCGCTGTGGTATCACTCGTGTAGAGAACACTCACGTTTAAGCTTCGGGCGGAGGAAGAGGCCTCCAAAGACACTGAGAAGAAATAGTGTGAGTGGTAGGGTGAGAAGCAGAAAAAAGGAAAGTCAGACTCTTCTAATGTGTATGCGGTTTAAAGGATCGAATAGTCACGGCCACCGAGAGGTCCCGTATGATCGGGGGCTAAAAACTACTGTTTGGGAGTTGCCATTATAGGGTCATCAGTAACATTTTAGGAGCTAAAACCTCTGCTTTCTCTTCTACCTTTTGCATCTCATTTTTCTCCCACCAATCTACCTCTCCAATAATTCTCAAGTCTGTGCTTTTGCCAGGTGAGCCAAAGGCCTCTTTGGCTCTGAAGTACCCTGGGATTCAGGCTTCATTTTGCCTTAGCTCTGGCTGAAGTTATCCATCACCCTCTGTCTCCCCTGACGTGCTCTTTCCTCCGCGATTCCCTGACTCCCCACCCATCTTCCCCTGCCCATCCCTTCTCCACACACTGCATGTTCTTAATTGCACCCATTTCTTTAATTATATAATACATGGTGTCAATATCCAAACCTAAACCAAGCCCACATTTGTTTGTTTGATTGTTTTTTATTCAGTCTCAACGTGCCTTCGTCTTTACGGCCTTAGTTGATAGGACTTCTGTTCAGCTAGATTTCAGACAATTCTCATTGGTGGTTTTTCTGTGGATTAGTTGTAATTTCGATGTGGTCGTGAGAGGAGGCAGGCACATCGTTCACCTACCCCACCATCTCAACCAGAACTCCAAGCCCACATTTCTTGCCTGAGCTTCAGGAGAGTCTAACAGCTGGCTAGACCAGAATGCCACAGACTCTTTAAGTTCAAATACGTCTCAAGCTGAACCTGAATCCTCACCTGCACTGTTCCCTGTAATCCTTTCTTCTCCCTAAATCCCGTAATTTGTATTATAATCTGCCTAGTTGCCAAACCACTGGCCTGAGCATCATCCTTGACTTGCTCCTCCTTCCTTATCCTATTAGTTACTGATTTTGCCTCCTCAGGACACTTCAAATCTGTGACTCTCCCTGTCCCCACTACCTGCATCTGGGCCACAGATATCCCTCACCTGGATTACTGAATCCTCCTCCTGGCTGGTCTCCCTTTCTCAGTGTTCACTTGTGCCCAGTACCCGGGCCACACTGGCACCAGAGTCCTCTATCTAAATAGAAAGGTGATTACATCACCCCTCGCAGAATTCTTTGCCTGCCCCCGGCCTCCTCTCTACTCTTCCTCTATATATTCAGGTCAGATCGATTTTTTTTCTCCCCCAGTTCTTCAGCTCACTCTCTGCACCTTCCTCTGTGCTCACGTGCCTGCCTGGAGCACATGTAGATTCCCTTTATACTGGTGAGTTTGTCCTCCATCTTCAGGAAGCTTCCAGAACCCTGTAAATCTGAGTTATGTGGACTTCCTCTGGGGTCCCCTCTTACTCCACCCTTCCCATGTAATAACGCTTTCCATATTGTTTTGTAATCCCTCATTTTTGTCACGAAGCAGTGCCTTCCTCTGAATTTTAAGCTCCAGGAAGGTAGGAGCGATATCTCTGGTACGTCATTATGCTCCACGCTGCTAGTACGGTGCCGGGAATAGTGTGGGCATACAGTCAGTGTTCATTGAATGAAATGAATGCTCTGCTGGGCGCTTTCACATCCATTATCTCAGTGGGGGTAAAGCTGAACAATTTGGAGAGGATTTTAATGAAACATGAGATGTCACTGGATTAGAAGATTATTTGTTGAGCTGTTTTGCACTAGTAGGAGGAAGGAAAAGTTAGGAAAGCTGGTTAGAGTGAATGAATATATTTAATTACACCTCATAGAACAAAGAAGGAGAGCTTTTTCTAAAACTAGCTTACGTCATTTAAATTTCATCTTCTAAGAAGTTGAGGCCTGTAAATTGTGTGCTTTAATATTTAAAAGTATCAGATTGTTCATCTTTTAGGATTTTTTTTTTATCCACCTGGAAAAACTTAAGATGATTTAAAAATCTACCTATATACTTTATTCATTGAATTCATTTGAGGGATGGGGCTGTAGAAATGAGTATCAATTTAATTATGCTCTTTTTATTACCAAAAAAATCGAGATAGAATATACTTTTAAAGATTTAATTGGGTTTTAAAAACAGGGATAAAGAAGTAAACATGAAGAAATAAAGGAATGGATAACAATAGGAGGAAATCTAGGCTAAAAAAAACTTAGGTAAGATAAACTTTGAGGATAAAGTTAACTCTAAGCTATCTGGAAGTCAAGGCAAAAGACATAATGTGATAAGATATACATTACCTGATGTCCTTTAACTTCTCTCAAATATGAACCTCCAAAAGCTGGAGAGCTCACAATTCAAGAGAGACTTTGCAGTCAAGTACCTGAAGTACAGGTCAATTTAGATGCCAGCTGTGCCAGTTACAAAGTTCGTGCTCTGTTTTGAAACTGTCGAAGAGATTGGCGTGTGTTCTGTCTCAAAAGGTGGCCGAGTTCTCCATGAAAACGTGTAGAATATTTAAAGAAAAAGGTCAAGACTTTTTCTTCAAAACACAACTTTGAATCCACTGAATTCCTTAAGAGATATATTTATTTGGAGCTCCTAATTCTCTGTAGAACATGGGAGAGAGATGCTTGGTTTGGAATAACCCAAGGAGAGGATGCTGCAGTTATCTGCCTCTGCAAGAAAAAGGATCTAATGTCGATTTTGAGAATGCTGGACTTTGGCCAGCCATCACGGCATTCTCACAGTCCTACAAGATGCGGTAGCTAAGTGCACCCCACACGACTCCACGAACGGACCCATTGGGTGGAGTTGTTTGGGACTTTCTGCCACTAATTAACAGATAGGCTTCTAAGTCATCAAAGTGGTTTCTGGGTACGAGGATCACATGACTGATTTAGAGGAGGAAGTTCGCTGTCTTGTTTGCTATGACAGAGAACATGCAAAAGTCCCATCTGAAAGTGATAGGTATCTATTTAAGGTTTTAAAGTTAAACGAGGTATATAGGGCTGTTTTGTGTAATTTAGAAATGGAATTTACTCTGTGAAAGCCCATTCCTATCCTCTCTGACTCCTAAGGCTTAAACACAGAGGTGATACTGAGACCACGTGATTTGACACATGAATCTGCCTGTTGGCAGAGGTCGGGGCTGATAGTACAGTAATAGAAGCTACTAGGTCTTCACCTGTTCCCCATAGTTTTCTATTTAGTGAAATAATGTAACATCAACAATGTCTCAGTAAAAATAATCATTCCTCCTATTAGATTGAGAAGTTCCAACCTATGTCTAGTAGAGAAATCTAGCAAAGAGTTTTGGGGAGAGCCAGCACACTGGCACCTCTGGACTCTGGGGAGGTAGAAATTGTCTGATGAGTGAACTGGTTGGACTAAGAAAAAATACATCTAAGGAGTGAGAGTAAATGGGTTTTTGTTCATTCTGGAAATTGAATAAGAATCTTCCCCCCAACTCCATAGCCACTGCCCAGCCATTCCTCAGAGGTGGCCGGGGCTTGTTCTTTATTTTGTGGTTTCTATAGGATCATTTCTGTGGTTTCTCTGAGTTACCCAGGTGAGTAATTTTAATGTGCTGCCTGGTTTGGGATTTTTTGGTTCAGAGAGACTGAGACACAGAAAGAACCTGTGGTGCATGCTGTACGGAGTATGGGTATTGCCCATATAGCTCTGTTGTTTTTATCTTGTCCATTCCCTTGTTCTCACATAAAATGAGGAAGAAAATGGAGATTTTTTTTTTAATTTTCAAAGAAAAATTTGGTTTCAGTTTTC